GGGCAGGGGTGGGGTTCTGTCATAGTACGCCATCAAGAGCAATAATCGCATATGATCGGTCGAGGCTTGGCGAATGAGCGCACACCTTGGATGGACAATCAGCTGGTGTACAAGCGATAATATAATAAATTCGATTAATTATTCATAATTACAAGCTTGTTCATTTATAATATTCGTATAGACTTGCTCAGCTGTGGTGATTTTTTTTTCAGTTAAATTAATATAATAATAAAAAACTTGGGAAAAAATAGTTTTGGGTGAACGCGAAACCATCGCGGTTACAGGAGATTTCGCGTTAACACGTCCATTTCGCGATATTTTTATTTAATTTAAATTTTAAAAAGAAATAAATCGCCCAGACTGTGCTAGTCTAATGTTGGTATTGATTGCACAAATATGTAAATGATACTATAGTCCCCCTACAGTTAAATTTTCTAGGCATTTGGCATAACTTGAGGGCCACAGTGAAATTATATTATTTAATATTATAGTGATGTATATTTAAACAATAAAAACACCGGAGTCTTTTTTTTTTGTACACTCAAGATTATCAAAAGTCATGGAATAACTATGCAAATTAGCCACTCTCTGGATTCCGAGTCTTGGTCTTGATTTATTCTTTGATATCGGTACTATCTGGCAATTTTTCCAAAGCCTAGGAACATATGTAATAATAACTGCCATAGTTGGGACTTCTGGTTCGGTTGTCTGTTAAATTATGCTCACTTATTTTTCAAAATGTTAGCGCGGACGAGAAAGCTATTGTACAACAGTCGAGCTAAAATGATGAAAAAATTTGTTTGTTTGTTTTTTAGACAAAAAAAAATATTTTTGTTCACTTGTTGTTGCTTTGGAAAATAAAAGGTGGTCATGTGACTTTGCGTCTTGGTAGAAATGTTATCAAAATCGCTCTAAGGTAAACCACATACTCTAGAATAACATTGTTCTTAAATACAATCAATATTGTCTTTGGTGTTACTAAATCAAATCATCGACTTTTTCTAGAGTACATGGTGTACCTGTGAGTAAAAACAAAAGTAAATAGAACTAGTATTTTTGTGAAAGGGGGCGTGTTGGCTGTGAATCGGAAACGTTAATATTCATGTGACTGGTGAATGCAAGTCAGGCTTGTCGTCACGTGTAGACGGTGAAAGGTCATCGACAATTATACTCAAGCGATGCGAGGCAACTAACCGAGCGTGGTTGGAGGAAACTGTTGTTTTTTGTACAGCTACACTTATATAAGCATGTCATTGAACGGGAGAACACAGGGTCCGTTTGGTAGCATATGAATTCGTTTACGGGTAGAAGCGGTTCATACGAAGCGGCGACACGTTTTAATATCTAACCAATGTATAACATGTCATGTTGATGTTTTTGACACCGTAACTAGTTTGGCCACCAGGTTCGTTGTTTCGATTCTCCAATTTAAAAAAAACTGCTAGAGTTATTTCCTATGTGTGTGTTTCACGTGAAGACCAGCGACGGTCACGAATAACCATGGATGGCGAGGAGATTAACGTGGCCGGCGGACCGACCAAACACAACAATGCCGAAACCCGTGCCGAAAATGGCGGACCGCTTGTTCGCAGTGCAGAAACTGTTCATTCATCCGGGCCTAAGGTGAGTTCGGTTCCGATCGCCATAGAACCGGCAGCAAAGTCGCCAGATGCACCAAGACCGTCGTCCTGTCCCCCTGGACCACCCTGTTCTTCACCAATGGTGCACGACAGGCGATCGAACAGTACTAATGATCTTAAACGAGATCGCAGTGCATCGCAAACATCACAGACACAAACTGATCAAATACCAGTGCTCGAATTGGATGATCTGAAAGTGCCAATTGTTGGGTACGAAATAATGGAACAGAGAGCAAAATTTACGGTGAGTTATAGGATGTTAAAATGTTTAACAAATAAAAAAAATGCCTATTATTCTCAGTATGTTTGTGTTCTGACTAAAAAAAGAAAGAAAAAAAGAACATAAATTTAGTTCACATCTATATAGATGAGCACGAATCCCCACACTAGATATTTACTACAATATTTAAGAAATTATACTTTCTGTGAGATCCACACATTTTAAAGCCCTGCAGTCGTCAACCGATTACAACACCTGTGTATATCTGGGACCCTTGTTGTACTAAACGTGGCATGCTGTAAAAGCGGTTGATACAGTGAATGTTCAATATATTAAAAAGTTACTCTATCACAGCAAAGAATCTAGATCTTTGTTAGCTACTAAGACCGGAATTTTTTCTCGTCCTATTCGAAAGATTAATAATTAAAAATTATTTTCAGAGCTAGCCTTCGTATCAAGTAATATGTAATGTATTTAAAAGCTTGTGATGTCACTAAGTGCCACACCAATCTCATTGACCTACCAAAACTTATACTGTAAAATATGTTGAAAAAGGGACATGCAATTTTAGCAAATTGTGGTAAAATGACGTAATAGCGAAATGTTGATTTAAGGAATCTCTCTTGTCATTGTTGATTTCCTGTTTTCACAATACTTGTCTGTCGCGTGTCAAAACAAATGGGCAATTATCACCTCCATAAAAACAAGGAAAAACTGTCAAATGTAATTATGAAGCACCCCAGATTTTTATGTTCTGGATTACTGTATACAAATCGCTAAGCCTTGGTCATTTTGAATTTATAATAAAGTCATTAGCAACATCTTGAATTAGTGAATCAGTTCTTTTGCTAAATTCGCTAAAAAGACGTGCTCGCGAAAAAGACATGTTTTACAGTATTCTATTCATACACAAGATTTGTAGTCAGGGTTGCATATTTGGTACTCTTAACTTTTTGTTTGTCAGAGGTATTTATATTTTTCTGAGATTTTTCTGTATGTTGGTGTCAGAAATTCATCTCATTTCATCCCATGTTTTTTTGGTGTACAGTTACTAGTTTGTCATTTTAACAAATTACAACCTTTCGTGACTACTGCTGTGTGCAATAACTACTGATTGCGTAGATTGTTTTAGAACTTTTATGATACATGTTATTTTAGTCAATTTAGCTAATTTGTGATTTCACTAGTACAGAATGTATATTCTCACAATGAGATTGTTGGCTAAGTTAAAGTTCTGATAATTCTTTCATTTAGCGGAATTCGCTAAAATGGCATGTAGCTATTTCAACAGTCCTGAAAATGAAAATATTGTTTACATTTCAGTATAAAAAAAATATTCCAAGAAAATTTAACAATTATATTGGAAAAAACAAACTTTGAAAAGTAATTTGTGCCATAATTTATTGGCTAAAACACAGTACACAGAATGGCAGACAACTGCATTTGTGGGATGCCTGATTATTTTCTTCGCTGCATTTTCACAAGCCACAATGGGTGTTTTTTTCACTGTAGACTGTGAAAACTTTTGACCCCAGAAGTGTAAACTTGCTTTGAAATTTATGTGTGTGACTTCCATGTTGTCCATATCCGTACTTTAAAAAAGAGCTTATATTTTAGTTTCTATTCTACAGTGTAAGTGTCAAATCAATCAGCTGCCCTCACCTTGATTTGAAAGGGTGAACTTTGACCCGCTTCTAAAGGGTCTATGCTTGAAGTTCAGCATTGTATAATATTATTATGCTCATTGTGTAGTATTATTTTTGGCGGAACAAAAAAGTACTTGAAAATACTAAAAATGTTCAATAATGTTAATGATAATTGTGTATAAAAAACAGAATTTAGTCAACAAAGAGTTGAGACTGTGTACAGTATACGTTTTGATTCACTGCAGTTTTCAACATATTTTATTTATTTTTCAAAAAACTTTGATCAAGACTGATAGCCAGTGGGAAATTATGTAAAAAAAATTGGTAAAAGAAAAATATTGCAAAAAGTCGCACTAATATTCTGCTGAAAAAAAATGTTGTCATTCAAAGTTTTTTTTGTAATTTCCATGACGCGCTGGTAAAGTATTAAAAAAAATGTTATGCAATGCAAATTATGCAATGTGAATTTGGACTCCAGCGTTGTAGTGTTTGGGACTCTACATTGCTATGTATAGCTCACATAGAATGAATGCCTGCATAACACAAACACTTGGCATCACAGGGTTGTAAATGTCACAGCTTGTAGTGAAAGGAATACATACAATAGTGCATCATTAATCTAAAACCAAGAGATTATTCAACAATATGTAACCCAGACAGAAGAATTAGATCCCTAGATCATTTAAAAAAGTTTTTTCTTCTTCATGCCACTTGAAGATTTAAAAAAATTCAATGTGTTCCTTCAAGCATTAAGGGGGAGGGTGTCAAAATATTATAAATATTATTGTTATAAAATTATTTAATTGTACACAACTGTTGCACGAACACCCTTGAACTAAAATTAATTTGGTGTGAAGAAGGCTAATCTATTTGCATGGTCATTTAGAATAGGTAATCAAATTAGACTGAAACAATAGTTTTAATTTTACTTCATGGCTTTTGACTAGATGTTATTTGACTAGCTAACATTTTTTCTCTCACATTGCAATGTGTTTGTTTGCAGCTTGCTTGATATACTGCGATGAAAGACGTATTCTCACGTTTCATTTTGTGAATTTGGTAATACCAGGATTTTCGCTTGGTTTTAAATTCACGTTTCACGTATGGATTGCATTGTTTTCGTCACAAAAACGTTTTTTATTTTAGTGCATTTAGATCTATACAGTATCATCGACAAATTGTGTTTACTGACAGTTCCTCTATAGTTAGCAAATAATAATAATGTAATACCTAGTAAGCAAAAAATTATAATTTATGTTATATCAAACTGAAAAGTTTGCAGTTTGCCTATAACAAGCAGTAAGCACAAAAACATGTAAACTCAGACAATCTGGCAAAATGTTTTTCTGAGACATTGTTTTTGCATTTGCCTCTGATTTCAATTTGGGCATTTAACAGTAATGGCTGTTCAGTTGAGAATTATAAACATATTCACAAATAAGTTCCACTCGATGTGCCAGTCAACTCAATTTATGTTTTACCGTATTATCTCTATTAGTAGCACATGTGTTTATGAAAATATCAGAAGTGTGTCTTTGCTCAAAATAATTTATATTATAATAATCCTGCATACAATTTGTTTTATGTGCATTTCTACTAGTATTGCTTATGCGCTTCTAATAAAGCAGATATAGTGACAAAATACATACTTTTTTTTAATTGAAGTCCAAAGTATACAAGATACAATCTTACAGAGCTTTGAATAAATATAATTACATGTGTCTGAGAAACCTTCAATAAATATACATTGTATATATCGTTAATATTGTCAACTGAATGTATTTATTTTTACATACTTTTTAGCTCCGCTGTCGACGAAGTCAAGCGCAGCTTATAGTATTACTGATTGTTCGTCGGCATCCGTCGTCGCTGTCGTCATCGTCAACTTTACATTTTCAACTTCTTCTTAAAAACCACAAACTGTATAGCTGTGAAACTTTCTAGGAAGGTACCTTGGGTGGTTCTCTTTCAGATTTTTTCATTTCGTGTAGATATGTTCAATTGTCTTATTTATAGCGAATATTTTTGTCATTTTTGGTCAAAAATGCTATTTTTGACTTCTTCTTGAAAACCGCTAGCCCGAATGCTTTGATACTTGGTATGTAGGTACCTTGGGTGGACCTCTCTCAGATTTGTTCATTTCGTGATGATATCTTTAATTCTCTAATTTTGATGAATATTTTTATCATTTTTGGTGAGTGATATTTTCATCTTCTTGTTAAAAACCGCAAGTCCAATTGCTTTGATACTACATATCTAGGTCCTACATGTGGTCCTCTCTCAGGTTTGTTCATTTCGTGATGATGTCTTTAATTTTCTAATTTTCATGAATATTTTTGTCATTTTTGGTAAAAAGTGATATTTTCGACTTCTTGTTAAAAACCGCAAGTCTAATGGCTTTGATATCATATATACTACATAGGTACATGTACTACGGGTAGACCTCTCTCAGATTTGTTCATTTTGTGATGATTTTGTTCAATTATCTAATTTTAATGAATATTTTTGATAAAAAGTTATGAAAAGTCTGATTGCTTCAATACTATCCATATTGTTCATTTTCTAATGATATCTTCAGTTCTTTAATTGAAATGTGCATTGCTAACAGCGGAGCTATCTCAGCCAACAGGCTGCTAGTTTTATATTTCCTAAAAAAACTTTTGATAAAGATTTGTAGGAAATGGGAAATTATGTCCATTTGGTTTCAAAATAAAAAAAAAAAAAATCATAACAATACATAAAAATGTGAAGAATGTACCACCGAAACTTTGGCGGCAAAAAATATGATTTTCGAAAATTATAATTGATATTTAATTCCCTGAAAGCTAATGCAGACTCAGTAAAATGCATTCATGTTTGTCAGTTTATTTCAAGTTATCAAAATATACCACACTCCTTTGAAGCAGTAAAATGTACAATCACAGGAAATCCAGTTGGCTTCCTATGACTAGGATTACATGTACTGGGATGTTTGTGGCACCCCTAGCTAGATATGGTTTCTCACTGACACCCTAGCTTAATATGATATCTCCCTTGTACACACCCCCTTCCCTTGATTTTTAGATAATATTCGATAAGTGGTATCAGATTTACTTTTCTATTTCATATTCTACTGGTATTTATCAAATGCATAAATTTTGCATCTTTGCATCATCAAAAAAACTAATTGTATTTGAAATTTTTGTATCTGCATCCAAGTTTATTTACTTTTTAAGCTGTCAACTTTTTTATGATTATAAAAGACATCTTGACATTTTTTATCCAAATTTTCGGTGGATGGCAAGCGGTACAGCGGGGAAATGAATTCTATGTACTGCCAAGATAAAATTTCAGGAATAATAAATGGTCTATATACGTGTCAAAAAAACATGAAAATAT